TGTCCCGAATGTCGGCTGCTGGAGCTCTCGCGCATATATCATACCGGCGATGTGGCTCCCGTGCCCTGCCTGGATGTCTAGTATATGGTCTGATGTGGTACCGTTAACATCGTCCTCCTCCTCATCCTCTACACTTCCAGTATCCTCTTCTATACGGAAAGCCTCGTTTAGATAGCGGTTGGCGATAGCAATGGCGATATGCCGCCAGCTGATGATGGTGAGCGTGGTCCCCATGCACCGTTCGCTCTGCCGCTGGAGAATCCGCCGCATATGATCCGGTGACCATACTGACTCGGGCTCTGGTGCCGCCTGTGCGGATCCGTCCGTGTTGGCCGCCCTCTTTATCACCTCGTCCGCCCAGAGAAATACACTGGGTCCACCACTGCGCTGCCAGATGATACCCTGTACCTTCCGCCAGAACGGTAGAACCAACCACATATACCATACCAGCAGAGAACCAACTGCGCGTGGTAGATAGCGGTAGATCACCTTGTTGCGACCGCTGATCCTGATGTTCTTATGGTATGCCGTTACGAAGAATACCATGCCCTGGTTGCAGAAGATGTTGCGTAGCCCGCCATTGGCTGTGTTCCACATCCGCACCCCAGCAATCTCCGTTGCACGCGCCGGCATCGACAGCATGTGCATCAGCAAGAATATCCGCTCCCGGAACTGTAATAATGTATCGGTATACTGGTGAATGGCGCTTTGTTTGAGTGGGTGCTCTTTGTTACTAGCGCTTGTGCTGATCCATGTCTTCTGGAGTGATGTGGACTGCACGAGCTGTTTGAACACCCAGCCATCCCCCGCCTGCAGCCATGTGTTACGCTGGTCATCCTCGAACTGCTCCCATCTGATCTCTGGGAGTCCGTCTACCGTACCTGGGGGGTTTAGCGTTAGTGCCCCGAGCAGCTTCTCCGCCTCTTGCACGAGCGTGTGTAGCATCTCCGCCAGCTGCGGCACCCGGAACCGGATTGTCTGGTAGCTCACGCGATCATCTAACCACTCGATGCTGCCGCTGCCCGGTGTGTTATATCGGATGTTCATCCCGTATGCTCGTGCCTCGAAGATCCAGTCTAGTGGTGTCGGCTCGGCCGTGGGCCCCCCGTGCACCCGTACCATGAACCGTGCCATCTTGCCGCGCAGTATGCGGAACACGCTCTCCGCTTCCTCATAGGCATCATGTGCCTCCATCGCCTGCGAGTGCTGGATCACCTGCGCCTCCCGCTCACAGTATGACTGATATAGCACGAGCATCCGTGCTACCTTGATCACGGCTGAGTAGATCGATGTGTAGTTAAGCACGGACTCCCACCCTCCATCTTGCCGGATGCCCATGACGGCCAAGCAGCTCACCAGCACGTTTCGGTATGCATCCCCCTTCAGTGCATGATCAAACCAGCTGATTAGTAGGGTTAGGCATAGATCCTGTTCATCCTGGCTGGGTTGATCACCCTGCTGCCTATCCTCGCTAGACATAGCCTCGATGAATGTATCCCAATGATCGCCTTGTGCTGTTGTGAAGATGAATGGCGGTCGCTCATCATCAGCCATCTCATCTACACGATAGATGATGCATAGTATCTGTCGGAACACATCCCTATACCGCTTCCAAGTATCCTCCTCCATTCTACTGTTAAATGGCCGATTAGGCTTCCCTTCTAGAGCGGTTCGGGCCACCTCGAATAATGCAGCCTTGCCCACCTTGGCGGCTGTCGCAGTTGCCCGTGCCTGGTTGAGCACATACTCCATCACTTTCCATGCTGACTGCAGTGCTGTCTCCTCCTCCCGGATATCCTGCCTTGTACTGTAGAGCTTGGTAACAGATAGCCCCTGGAGATGCGTTGCCCAGCCAACAAACTCGAGCCATCCGTTGGATTCAAGCCGGTCATCACCAACCTGGATGATCATTCGTGTCTCCTGCGCCTCCTTCGCTGCCTCCTCCCTAAATAGCTCCTGAACTCTTTCAATCGCTGCTTCTGTTTGGCCGGTATGGTCAGGGCTAGCAGTCTCTCCACCTGAGCCAACACGGAACCAGCTGCTCGCAGCCCTTCGGATAAAGAACCGCTGGCAATGCACACCGCTTATCCATGGCTGATCGCGAGCCTCTGCTGCTTTTTTCCTGATGTTACCACCCTTCTTCCAATTACTGATCCATTGGTGTGCTTTCCTGCAATGGTCTCGTATCCCAACCTCTGTACAAGCAATATATGGGCACTGCTTGCATTGCTTCCCATCTGTTCTTGGCGGGGAGATATATGGTACTGGCTCTGCGATATATATTGGTAATGGATATCTACGTAGTTCTTCTTGATCCTGTAGAAGCCCATCTATGGCTTGGATAGCTGCCTTGATTTCTCTTCTCTGGGATATTGTGAATAATGGGTGTTGAGCTTGGAGATGTGTTTCCACTTCCTTGGTAACGCATGCATAACTGCACTGCTTGCAGATAATAAATGGATATTGTATAAGATGGATAAATGGCTCCATTATGTTCAGTATAATACTATAGATTATAAGGTATTAAGGTTGAATATGTTAATAAAGCAGGTTTCGAAGGTAGTAGATAGTGCGGCTGAGGATCTCGATGAGGCCTGGTTTAACTAGGCGTTTGGTTGAGGCCTCACCGACATACCGGGTGAATGATATTCCTGGCGGGAATATCGGAAATATCGGTTAAATACTGGGTAAATAGCTATCTTTTGTGGGTCCCTGATAATTATTGACCAATTAATCAACACATCCTACTCAACACATCCTACCCCCTACTTTTTAGTAGCGCGAAAATTCACCCACCAAATTTCAACACATCCTAGTAGGATGTGTCGTGGAATTACTGTTAGTATTTACGCTGGGCTAGTTGGTTCTGCAGTCTTCAGCGCTGAGCTGGATCGCTTATTTGAGTCTAATCCTTATTAGCGTTAATAAGGCTACTGGAAGCACTTATATTGGTATAGCTGAAATATTATCTTTAGGCTGGAAGAGGTATTCTATGATGAGGCCTTAATAACTTCTGAGTAGGCTACTAAGGTTTTAGGGTGATAGGGAAACAGGGAAGTAATATCTTAAGAAATAAAAGCAAAATCAAGGTAGTTAGCTTATTAGTTTCAGGAAATAAGTCTGTATTTAAGTATCTGGTGAGAGAGAAAGCTAGCAGCTATCTTAGGGGGTTACTATTGAAAAGGAGGGTTAACCGACCCGGGTATACCGCTGGCTGACCAATAGTATATATGGTGTGGTATAAATATGTATTTATAGCTACTTAGCACTATCCCTTAAGGTCCACCTCTTAGCCTACTCCTAATAGCTACCGTAGCGAGAGTATAACAAGGGAATGTAATCTCTGGAGTCAGCTAAGTTGTTGGTGTGTGCTATATATTATATAATTTAAGCTCCTCTACTCGAATGAAGCAGTATATAAGCCCAGAAGCTATATTGACTCTTGCCCTTAGTTAGCCTTTTGCTCTTTATAAAGATAAGGTAATTTTATCCCTGAAATCCTAAAGCTAGGCAATATTAGGTAGTTCGCCCTTTATATCACCTGGTATATCTCAGCCAGCTGAAGTGGTAATCCTATAAGAGAATACTTACCTGATCCGGAATAAATTGGGCACTTTGACAGCTGATTAACATTATGAGGTAGTCTGGCCCCTGGGCTCTAATGGAGGAGCAGTTAAGGCTATATAATAGTTCTTATTACTTGCAGGATGTTAAACTTAGGCGTACTATATAGCATTATTACTACCTAATGGTATCGCTGAATTAGAAACTTAATCAGGTACCGAATGGACTATATACTTTATTGTGAGGTACTGCTTAGGCTGCTTTATAGGTTCCACCAATTGTGCCATCCAGGGAGGCCCCTGAGTTGGTTGGCTAGGCGGTATTATTAACTCCTTCAGTGGTCCAGGGGTATTATTAGCTTTAATTTTCTCACAGGTATCATATGCTAAGTGGAATATACGCTCCTTCATCAGATGATACCCTTTATATACTAGATATAAATAATAATTAGCTATAATTCCACCTAACAATAGGGTTTATAACCTGGTGATAAGAGAGCTCTATTACCCCTATATGGTTTTACCAGGTTATAGCTATCTATTTAATAATTAAGATAAGGTATCTAACGATATATAAGTTAACCTTACAGTAGTAGATAGTTCTTTCTCAGTCAAAATAGATCCTATATAGAACTTATATTATATTCTTATTACTATATTTTCAATAAATTTATTAGTATCCCTTCTTTATCTTTATTATATTTAGCTTCTCTCCTAATGATAATAGTACTCATATAAATAACATTAAGGTAAACCACTTATAATAAAGTATAGGATATTATTCCTTCTTATTATAAGTAGTTAGATCCTTATTTCCATTGGTACCAGAGGTATATTCTTTGCCCTTATACTACTTCCAGGATAATATTAGACGGTTATAATTTTGACTACTATAGTGGCTATTAGTATAACTAAATATGCACCTTTTAATAAGTCGGCTCTTCGAAAATCGCATGCGAAAATGTGACCCTGGAGCCTTAAAATTGGTCACTTCTGAAAAATTGCGAGGTCCTACTTCTTGGTTTTGCCAAGAAAAGGGACAAGCTTAGGTGTGGCCAGTGTCTTCGGATAAGAAGTTTTGCCGAAACCGAAAATATGGGTAATCTTGCCTTGGTCATAGCTTGATTTTGGCAAGGCCCCTCTGGGCTGCTGTGGACGGTTGATTTCTGAATACACCTATTCAAGAATTCCTAGTCATCTCCTACCAATGTCCTGGATGATACCATGAGCATCTTGCATCCTATTGACTATTTCCACTCAGCCTGTCCTTTCTTCCATTCATTATACCACGGAGGCTTCTTTTAAATACTTCCTGGGAGGATTGCGGCTTCGATGGGGGCGGTTGGAGGGTTCCGACACAGAGACTGCGGGAGGATCCGGCGCGTGCGTGGGCAAGGGTGCAGAAACAGCTATAGGAGGATGCATTCCGGGTACAATATGTCTCATGAAGGATACAATGGGGGCCTGATCCCCACTATAGCTTGTATGGGACTCGCCAATTGTTTGCTTGGAGCTTGTGCTACTGATAGAAGGAGATGCCGAGGATGGGATAACTATCGGGGACGAGGGCGCTGTGCGGCGCCAGGTTGTCGAGAGTACGCTAGCCTGGCTGCAGAGAAATAACCCTCACTACTGGGACGTTGAGGTTGACGAGGCAGAGATGGTTGGCTGGGGAGCCCCGCCCCACGATGGATACGCAGCAGAGTCCTGGATTGATTATGCTGTTTCAGCCGAGGTTTCTCCAGACATTGTTCAAGCCACAGTTGGATTTTTACGAGACGAAACAACATTTCAGCGATGGGCTCAATTATATCAAGCTGATAGGCCATGGGACCATAAACCAGGGCCTCCCGGAGCATCCGGACTATATTATGTCTCTCTAGGCGGACTTGTGGGCACTGCAAGAAATATAACGACAGAGGGGGCCGATGTCAACGCACAAGGCGGCAAGCACGGCAATGCTCTACAAGCTGCCTCATATAAGGGCCACCAAGAGGTAGTGCAGCTGCTTCTTGACAAAGGTGCCGATATCAACGTGCAGGGCGTCCCCGGGGAGGTAGCTGGCATGGCCGACCTTGATTACCAGGTCGCCGCCAGATTTTACTTCAGTCTGCCCCATCTCGAATATCTTGCCTAGAGTGCACCAAGGATAACCCCCGACCTTTCTAAATTTAGGAAGAAATCGGCTGCCAGTATTCGATATGACGACATTGAGCTGGGTAGTTCTACACAAACCCATTCGGCAAAGTCAGGACTAGACAGTGGCCAATAACAATAACACGAGGAAGAAATGCTACCACACACATTCCACAAGAAAAAAATTCAATCAAGTCTAGAATTGAATATATCAGCATCTAGGTGGTCAATGTATTAAACCTGGGATGGAATGTAGGTATTGGGTTAATGATCCGTATGGTGGTGTTAGACCCGGCTGACGCTGGCTGGGATATGGGACAAGGCATGGCATATAAATTCCTATTTCTGCTGTAGCTAATTCCTGGATCCTTAAAATTAAACCTAATGCCGAATTAGAACAGGAGGAATGGCTGAAGCAATACTATATCGGAGTCCAGAAGTGATGGCAGTGTTGTGATGGCGTAATGCAAGGGCTATACCTGCAGCCTGATATCTACTTGGATCTAAACTTTGTTCGAATTGGAAGAAGAGCGCGACCGAAGAAATACCATGTTGGAATCCAGGAGTGATGGTGGCGTAATGGTGGCGTAAAGCTAGGGCCATACTCGCATCCTTACATATGTATGTAGGTGTAAACTTCATCCGAAACAGCCGCAATCGTCCCGTATTGGACCGAATAGGACTTAATTATTAATCCCAAGTCCTTTTGTCAGATCTATTTGACTGGCTAACCTTTTTGACTTTAATATAGACATTTAAGATTCTGTGATAGCTCAAACCTATGGCAAGTGATAACGACGATCATTTCTCACATGGGAAACTTCAGTCACGACATACATAGCACACTTGCTGACACAAGTAAATAACAAGTCAACACCGCTGGGTGTTGTACCAACAAAAGGCCAAAGGACATAGTCAATCACCGCCTCCATCTTGGAGTGGTTGAGGTATGGTATCTCACGCTACGCCAGATGAATTAGTTAGACTTCACTTGGAACCAACACTTAAGTGAGCGAATTTCATTTTGCCTTGATCCGACGCATGTTGTATTAGCAATTATTTCAACGCCATCTCAACTGAAAGCAAGACATTATCGGCAAATATGGAAAATTCTAAGGTCATATGAAATCGATCTAAGTTATGAGAGAGCATACCACACACAAGAGAGTATGTCACAACTGCGCGGCGGGTACTTGCACCGCTTGATATGGGACTTCATGAGATACGTCATTCCCAAACGCAGGAATTCTTCAATAACATTTGAGTCAGTAGGTGATTGACCACATCCCGAAACCAACCGAATTCATTCGTGGTATTACATACAACTGACATTATAATCAAGTATAAAAGCATGCTGATACCACTTAAATTTCATCTTGGAGATACTCAACCCACCACGGCCAATTATCGAAGTCTTTGTCGTTTTCTTTCTTTTCTTCACATCCATTACACGCACTTCTCCGGGGCCAACTGGAATACCACAGGTCAGGCAAATGCGTCGAACCCCAGCATCTCATGGGTTTAGGCCCGGCCGGCTAGTGATAGTTGGCTCGGGCATCAAGAGCATTTCCCAATTCACTCTCGAGGCTATCTCTGAGATTGAGAGCGCAGATATGGTGTTCTACTGTGTTGCAGATCCAGCGACTGAACTCTTCATTGAAAGCCACAGCAAGAAATCAAGGGACCTTTATGATCTCTATGATGATAGAAAACAGCGCAACAGAACGTACACACAGATGGCTGAGGTTATCCTTCGTGAGGTTCGCAAGGGCTTCACTATTGTGGGGGTCTTCTACGGGCATCCGGGAGTTTTTGTGAACCCAGCTCATCGTGCTATTTCGATTGCGAGGAATGAAGGTTTCGAAGCCACCATGTTACCTGGCGTATCAGCAGAGGACTGCCTGTTTGCTGATCTGGGCATTGATCCTTGCCGCCCTGGGTGTCAAACCTTGGAAGCAACAAACCTCCTTCTCCGCAACCGCCCTCTCTCTACTGACTGCAATGTTATTCTTTTTCAGGTTGGGTCTGTAGGGGATCTCGGATTTAACTTCTCTGGATTCAAGAATACGAAATTTCAGGAGTTGGTGAAATTGCTCCTCCGGACCTATGGTGTTAACCATCCGGTTGTTCATTATGTCGCATCTTACCTGAGAGTTAAAGATCCTGTGCGAGAGCACTACACTATAAAGGATCTTGAGCGCCCTGAGATAGCTAAACGCATCACAGGCATCTCGACATTTTATATCCCTCCCAAGGACATTCTTCCCATGACCGAGAAGTCTGCAAAGGCTTTGGGTCTCAAGATGGTCTCGGATATGCCTGCCAACTTCAGCCCCTATGCTGCTGTTGAGCCTTACGGTAAACGAGAGACTGCTGCTGTCAAGGCATTGGACAATCACAAGTCTCCCAAGAACTACAAGAAAACTCGATGTTCACCAGCCCTGTTCCATGCCCTAAAGACTCTTGCGACAGACACAAGGGCCGCCAGATCATACAAGAAGAGTCCGGGTGGCTTTGCTGCGGGCATTGAGGGGCTGCGTGCAGATGAGAAAAAAGCCTTGGTATCAGGCAACACGGGCCTACTGCGCCTTGCAATGAAAGCCTCAACCACTGATGTTGCTACTCAATTTGTCCAGGCCGAGCTTCGTAACCCAACCCTAGCCACACAGTATGCCTCCATTCTGAAGGACAACCTCAATAAGCCGGATGGGAATGCCAATGTTGAGAAGTGGCTTGAAGACCAGGGCTATAGCACTACAATAGATGCGATCTATCAAGCCTGGGAGAAGATGATCAACTCGAACCTAGATACGTTCGATTCCGTCTATGCCACTCTTGTGGATAAAAAGGCTGGCCCTACAGTCGTTATCCAAAAGGGAGGTGTAAGTGTCAACGGAAAAGCTATTGTGGGCTTCACCTATTCAGCAAGTACTCTCTCATGGAATGCATCAGATGGGAATGCGTCCTCTGCAGTTCTCCATCTTCAGGTCTTGACCGACGACGATGGCAAACCACTCCCTCCTGATGCTTACATCGGCCCCCAGTTCTATGGAATTTACTGGGCAAAAGACGCCAGTAAGCCGTCGAGTACGAATGCCTACGGTAAAATCGGCGTTGCACCAGGACCCGACCCTGGGCCTCCTCCGGTTAAGCCAACACCTCTCTCAACCTTCTACGACAACTATCAGACATATCTGAAGGATGCTACGGGCAAGTATCAGAAAGATAGTACGCTGGTTGTCGCAGCCGGCTCGGGGACCGATTCCACTGTAACATATGGTGGTAAAACAATCCAAAAATTCGTTTATTCAAACCAAACACTGTCCTGGTCAGCTGCCGATGGCAATAATACTAGTGGCTCAATCTCATTCTACGTCAATACAAACCCCACACAAACCAATCCTACTCCTGGTAACCAATTTGCTGGAAAGCAATGGGCCAGTGGAGCCACTGCCCCTACTGGGTCAAACTTCTTCGGGCAAATAGGATCATCTTCGAATCCCGATGGTGCATCTGCAGATGCTGCAGCTGCGGCTCAGTGGCGGATGGTTGGCATTAATCTTGGTGTTGGCATTGCCGTGGTCCTAATCTCAAATGTCATTCAAAAGGCCATAACTGCGGCTTGGAACTATTTCAAGAATCCGACAGCGGAGAATAAGGCAGCTCTTGATGAAGCCAATCAGAGTGCAGAAGAATCCATTGAAACTCAAGAGAGCGTCACGGAGTCGGCCGCCGAAGCAAATCCAAGCGGAGAATCTGTCATCCCAGATGATGTGCCATCTCAAGCAGCTGAGGCTGAAGCAGCAGAGGCGGAGGCCGCCGAAGCAGCAGAGGCAGAAGCGGCAGAGGCAGAAGCGGCAGAAGCGGCAGAGGCAGAAGCAGCAGAAGCGGCAGAGGCAGAAGCAGCAGAGGCAGCAGAGGCAGCAGAAGTGGCTGAAGTGGCTGAAGTAGCTGACGTTGTCGCTGACGTTATCGCCGAGGTCATCATATAAGACTACAATATGGCCAGTCAGTAAATTGATCCTTGGGCGGAGTCTTAAGGCTCAGCTAACTCCAAGACAAATCAAATCAGGGCAAAGGATAAGTTTCTACCCTTCCTTTTGATTCTTTTTTTATGTTTTCATCCACCGGGGAAAGTTCTAAGGGAATAGGTGCTCATTTGTTTTAATGACTATATTGTTGGGACCTGTATGAACATTTTCGCTTTGTAGCTATTCCAGGGGTAGTTAGGTCTTGGTATAGGTTTTTTTCCCCTGCATAGGGTTTTCCCTATACTGTAATGCGAATGCAGAGATTAGTAAGTTAGAAAGAAGCCTACGATTCCTAGTAGGCTAATACTTTAAAGACGATACAGTCGAAGGACTAAATATCACTCGCCTGACCAATTTCTGCGGATTAAAGGCTTCACATTGTAAAGACTGAGCCTCCGGGCGACATAATGACCGTGGGTGTCCTTGGAAAGAGTCTACCAATCATCTTCTTTGCTCTTAAAAGTAGATAGTCCGAAATCAGCCAGTAAAATTGTATCGCCATGGGGAGACTATAATTATTTACCTCGCAGTGAAATGGCCTGGGGGTTGCAGGGGCATTCCGTAGGCCCCAAGAGGCTCTGCCTGAAGCCAGCCACTGCTCATATAAACCAATTCGGACAGGAGATTTTACAGCTCGCCTGTCTTAGGGCTACCTTGATCAGCTCCTGCCGCTAGCAGCCTCTTAACAACCTCTGGATGACCTCCGCCAGCTGCTGCGCGGAGCGCACCATCTGCAGTAGCATCAGCTCCTGCCAGCGCTCCTAATAGTCCAATCAGTCCGTCTGAACGCCTCAGACTGCTCATTTAGTCCGTTTGACTTGGCTAGACTAAACTGGTAGTCCGTCTGACTTTGGCCAGACTGGACTAGCAGTCTGACCGAGATGTGCACACTGAACTATCGGTCCGTTCGTCACCGTCAGACCAGACTGAAGTGCAAACTGCGGTCTAGACTAATAGTCTAGACATGTGACTTGTGGCCCTTCTCATACCAGCCTCCAATTTTGAAGGCATCATGTCGCATTACCAACTGAGGCAAAAGGGAATGCGCACTCCATTAGTGCGGTCGTTAATAATGCCCTATGGCCTGAATGTGACACATCACGATGGTAATGGTCCAAGCCATCACGGAATACCTCCGTAACCGCACAACGCAATTCCGTCGCTATGCGGAAGCTGTCATGATATAAAGAATGAGCTTCCTATACTCTTCTACATAGAATCAAGCACTCGGTGGCCCCCCACTTATCCTCCCTCCTGTGTGACATCCAAGCCCCCCAATGCCTTATTAAACCCGGCAATTCCAGACGGCTAGGTACACTGTAGCGCCACTTGGAAAATGCTCACTTGGCGGATATAGGGGATTAGGTGGTAAAGGCCGCGTCTGAGTGGCTGTGATACTGCGTTATGGGTCAGTGAGTCGTCAGCAGTGCAGTTACTGCGGGATCGATGACGGGAACCTCAAAGCTAATGCGCTGGCTAACGTCGCCTATATAGTAGATATAAAGATGCCTGGCTTCCCCAAACACCCCAAGTGAAAGGTCCATTCAATAACCAAACAACTAGGCTCACGCGTGGGGCAAGACACCCGGGTTAATCAATACCAATATAAAGATGTGATTATTGGGGCTTTTGGCCGTAAATGACCTAGCTGTACGCTGTGTTAATTATCTAAAATGGCGAAACGGGCCAATATAGTAACTCACATTGGCTAGTATGCCTGAGTCGCTGGATTCTTGATGTCCCACAGGCCCCCCTGATCACCTCAAACTGTTGTTGGCGTAATGAGTCCGCAAACTTGCTCCAAGGACGTAGCCACATAGGGTAGAACTTGCCATCAACCCTTGTAGACCCCGTTGAGGATAACCATGTATCAACTCATGGTCTCCTTCATGGGGGTGTACTTTTCAGGACAGGGGGCAGGACAAATGTTTAGTTTTGCAAGCAGTAAGTTCCACTCGTACGCCTTTGAGAGTAGCCTCACTAATTCTCCAAATGCGAAGGTTTCACGAAGGCCACCCAAGCAGCGAATTACTACTTTTGGCTCTCTGAGCTTGAGCCAACGATCCAAGAGACCGATAGTAATAAGGAGAAAGGGCCAGCCAAGGATTGCCATTCCTATGACTTCAAAAACGTGCAGTTTTCATACCCTCTGGCTCCTGATAACCGGGTTCTCAAGGGAGTCTCGCTCACTGTAGGTTATCATCGCCGTGGTTTCATTGTTTGATGGACACTGGCTGACAACATCAACTTAGATTGAACGAGGAGAGTTTGTGGCCTTTATTGGCGCTTCTGGTTGTGGAAAGAGCACCATGATATCACTGTTGGAGCGATTTTATGACCCGACCAGCGGTAGCATCATAATTGACTCAGCGGCCTCATTGACGTCGATCAACCCCTTGCTGTACCGTAGCAATATTGCACTCGTACAGCAAGAACCTACGCTTTTTCCTGGATCTATTCGGGAGAATATCTCCCTGGGTATAGATATTAGTGTTTCCGAAACAGTTTCTGACTCGGTTATCGAAGAAGCTTGCCGCGGTGCTAATGCATGGGACTTCATCTGCTCCATGCCTGATGGATTAAATACCCAGTCTGGTGCCAGCGGTAGCCAGCTTTCCGGAGGTCAGCGTCAGCGTATCGCTATCGCCCGAGCATTAGTGCGAAAGCCTAATGTTATCCTGTTAGACGAGGCAACCAGTGCACTGGATACCGAATCTGAGCGAGTCATCCAGGCATCCCTTATGGAAGCGGCTTCTACAGGCGATCGTATCACAATTGCCGTGGCACATCGACTATCAACTGTTCGGGAGGCTAACCGTATATTTGTGTTCTATAATGGAAGAATCGTCGAGGCCGGAACACACAGTGAGTTGATTGAAAAGGATGGCATGTACGCGAAGATGTGCGAGGCCCAGCGGCTCGACGGTGATCCTTAAGGCGGTGGGAGACGGAGGTTTCATTATCATGTGGTTTAATTAAAACCCAAAGATGTTTAGTTTAATTGGCTGAGTTTCATCATATAGCTTACGAACGAGATTTTACAATTCAGATAGATAAATACATAATAGAGTTGGTTAAAATTAGCGGGTGAAGTGGGAAGCGACTTATGCAGAATAGCTTTGCTAAAGCCAACTGAGACCTTCACCGAACGTGATACTATGATTGCTTTGTGGAGAGGTCTATAATATAATAGGCAAGGAAAGCTTCAATCTTAAGGAAGACCTCCTGGGGATGATGGCTTTGCCTCCCAAACTACAAAGTACAGCCCAGAAACATCAGAAATAGTAGGATCTTAGATTGCCAGAATCTTCCTGCCGTTTCTTCTCAAAATGACCGCCCACGAAGGCTCTTCACACTCGAGCCCTGAATCCTTGAATGCCCATGTCTCTTAAACCACAGACCATAAATTCGAAAGATTCCCAATACGATACTCAAGCATCTAGTTCCACCACTTGGTCCATATGCCTCTGTCCGACAAAATCACTGGGCGCCACTGACTCGGTCTCAACATGGTCCAGCAGTTGTTGGTTTGGAGTGATGGGCCGCATGTGCCTGTGTGCCTGTGTGCCTGTGTGCCTGTGTGTCCCGTAGAAATCTCATTACTCGGTGAGTTCCTCTGCACGTATCTGGGCAACCTCACTTAGTAGTGAAGAGCAAACTGCGTCATTCTCATCTTCCAACATAGGAAATCTGCTATTGGGTCCTTTGTTAGTTGCTAGATATCTGTCTAATCGAGATTATGCGCGGCTATTGGCTAGTCCATAAGTACCAACATGTAGTACCAAGTACTTGCACATAGCAAGACACCAGCAGAAATTTAGTGTACCCGAAACCTTAGCGCTTTGAAAGTTAGTATGTCCATGCAGACCCACCCCGAAGGGAATCGTATGATCCAGCAACCAATACCTTGTTGCTTCTGTTAACATGGATAGGGTCTCCACAAGTACCCACTACAAGTAGGGCTGGCCTTGCTAATAATTGGCTCGCTCCTGCCGTCTTTTGTGCTCCTGTGCGCTCTTGTGCTCCTGTGCGCTCTTGTGCTCCTGTGCGCTCTTGTGCTCCTGTGCGCTCTTGTGCTCCTGTGCGCCCCCGTGCCCATGTGCTCCTGTGCTCTCCTGTGCTCTCCTGTGTTCTCCTACAAGCTATGGAAAAAAAAAGAGCATACCGCAAAGTGCGACGGGACGTTTTTTTTTTTTTTTTTTTTTTTTTGGTGCCCTTTTTTATTGTTTTATACAGATAAAAAATCACTATGCCCGTTTGCTTACTTGCATCCGCATAGGCCGCAACCGGTTGGTCCAGGATTACCACCGCATACTACACAATCCGAACACATCTTGTTATATTTGCGAAAGTAGGATATGCTATCCCATTGTCAACCAAGGAAGTAAAGGAATATACAGTAGATGCACTTACTGGTAGTCACTCTTGATGGGTATGAGGAAAGATTGCAGAGCGAATCCGTCGAGGGTGAGGCAAAATATATACAGACAAGACAAAGACGGCTGCCCAATAACTTAAATAGCCATGTGGGTCAGAAGCCTCTAGGTTAGCATTGTAATTCAAATTCCCGCTGCTTCCAGGGGTTTCATACCGACAAATCAGCAACGTGTTCGATCTGACTAAGCCACCGACAGGGAGGGGCTCACATGATAATAGGCTTCATCGCACATCTCTAACTTAGACTACAACCCAACCAGTACCCAATACCCCACAATGGCGAGCTGCTCATCTTGTGTATGGCCAATGTCCCGTCTGTATAGGCTCCTGCTTACCGAGTCTCAGTTAGTAAGCAGGACTGCGCCACACAATGAGCAACCTGCGAATATGGGACCAGTTCACATAACCAGCCACAAATCCCAGGACCAGCCACATGTCCCACCAAGACACTACATGATGTTGTTGGCGATACGCGTAGTACCACAAGTCAGCGCCTCTTTGGTCTAATCTCCGGTATTTATCCGAGATATGGAGATACCCTTTTCTGATCAATGAATGGATAGTCTGCCAACTTAATCATCCTCACCACAAAGCGATACTCCCATTGTACCCAATGTCTGATCAAGAGATTGTACGACTTCGACGCGAGAACGAAGAGCTCAGACGCGAGAGGGAAAAGGAGCGGCGCGAGAAGGAGGCAGCGGAGACGCGAGAGGAAAAAGAGCGGCGCGAGAAGGAGGCAGCGGAGGCGCGAGAGGAAAAAGAGCGGCGCGAGAAGGAAAAAGAGCGACGCGAGAAGGAAAAAGAGCGACGCGAGAAGGAGGAGCTCGCACGCGAAAACCAGCCGACTACACTGGATGAATATCTACGGAACTGCCATACCTATCTCTACCAGAACTTCAAGCTTGCCGACAAGTCCATACCTCTTGGTGATGCTAAAAATGTCTCTTGACCTAGAGGGATGTGGGCAGAGAGTGGCGATACTACCTTGCTATAAATCCGTATTCGTTCTTAATCATAAGAGTGTTTCTGAGAATAGTAGGCCCTTGCTACAGAACGATGCTATCTATGTCGCTTGGGTGACCTTTGCATAGAGAAAACTCAATATATCGAATTAGTAAAACTTGGAGTTCAGAAACGGGCCCCCAGCACCTGGAGTGGGCCAAAGAAGTCAGTCCCTTCCTTCATAGTGTACCACCACACCACAGGTTCAACTTTCTCCCACCCTGCCCCCCAATCTGTTGGACAACTTGAAAACACCCTCGAAATGAGAATAGAACTTGAGGAGGGTATTTCCATATTGCCGTGGTGATAGATGATATCTGGGAATTGCTCTTTAAGCCATATGAGCAGCGAGAATGCTTCATCAGGGTCGTTTTCTTCTGCTTTATACTCGCTCATAAGAGCAACAGCCGGAATAATCATTTCTCTCATCCCAACAGCACGTAATACCCCCATTGCTGATTTGAATATCGGTAAGATCCCGCAGCATCTATAATAGGCTAGTATCGAATAGAAGGAAGGGAGAATACTATATATAGAATGATTCTTCTTCCCACGTGTATTGAGTTGTTGAGGCCTGGTATAATTTAGGTTGCTAAAGCGCTTGCTAAGTTGAAGCGCCCCTATATGGCCATTTAGAAGTCTCTCCTTCATAGCTTTGCATGTAAGACCCATCGTATTAATATCCATCCAATCGATATTATTCACAATATAATAAAGAATTTCGTTCGGGAGGAGAAGGACTGGCGGAAGCGACATCTTTTAGGAAGATAATATATCTGTAATATAATAGAAAGATGCACCTAAAAGTACATGTAAGGTCTTGGGAGTTATATAATGAATTAAAGGGATCCTCTCACGAGAAAAGTCTGGAGTTCATGGCTCCCTATGGGCTGGTCTATTGAGTGGCTTGAGGGTTTAATATAGACCAGCAAAACTTTCGGCATATCTCACTGATCAAGAGCTATACATACATAGATAGCACTTTTACAATGTAGGCAATATTTTACAGCTTGGCGGAGCGCTTTCCATGAGGATTAGCCAAAGGAGCCAGGTTTTGGGATCCATCCAGATTTCGGGACTGGAGAGAAGGGGAGCGCCAAGTTTTGGGACCTGATGGGTATGTCCAGAAACTGGGATCACCACCATAAGCAACCCAAAGTTGCAAGAATAATATGTACAGATATATTGATGGAGGGTCTCTTCATACGTATATGCAAGGTGGTTATTAGAAAGTACAAAATAAAATCCCCAGACAAGGTTTAAGGGGCTATAAGGAGGATAAAGCAACTAATAAAAATGTACCTAGATTTAGAGCTACTATTGTAGCCCTAAAATTTAGACCAGCATTCACCGCCTCAATTTCAAGTATAAAAAAACTGATTGTTATGTATGAAATTCATCTATATAGAACTATCAATTTTCCAATATGTATAATCTAGATTTTCTATCTATTATACTGGTGGGTTTTGCACCTAGAATGTGTACTTCACTTCCCTGGACGTCAGCCGATTATGCAGGTGTCCACATAGAGCTATATGGAGATACTACCCTACTGTACAAAGGTAATATCCCAGCAGATAATCAATGGCACTCCATTACAATAAATGGATCTGTTTCAAGAGTTCATCATATATGGGATAATCCACTAGATGAGTTCTCTTGCCAATACTCCCCTGCTGGCATTCTAGGGGGGGAAAGCCGCGAGGATACGGGGGCTTGGTACAACTTGGGTCCTCCTAAACCGGTTAACTATGTCTTTTGCTGGCTCAGCAAGACAATGCAGAACTCCAAAGTTTAGCCATGGAGTCGATTTCTAGATATCATTGTTGGGAAGACAAGCTGGAAAGTGGATTGAAAAGATAGTCCAAACAATCATAAGTTATTTCCTTGAGAAAGCGATGACGATAGCATCATTATTTTATAGGTTTTACAGTATTATGAAGTGCTCTAAAGCTGAAGGAAGTAACTATTAGAGTTCTAAATCCACTTAATTATAGCATCAAAAGCTGTTGTGATGGTTTTGTAGAGCTGGTTCCGAAGCTCATTCTCTCATCCTTATCCGGTAAATGACAAATTCCGTTCTATGCGTAACGCAATATTTTCCCACTATTCAATAGCATCGCTGCATTAAAGAAATCAGTGCCTCGTGGATCATATACACATAAGGTGAAGTTAGCTGGCAAGGTAGCATTCATCCATTATAGGGTGTTATTTTCTTAGAGAAGGGCTTCGGCATAAGGGAGGCTCAATTTCTACACATCAGATTACTTAAGATTATATATCCAGTGGTTATATCATAGATTTAGTCGAGTAAGAGTCACCTATTATATATATAACTAATTCAATATATAATATATAACCCTAATGGTAGAAGGGAAACAACCCTATTACTATGCTATACCTGCTATAAGAGAAGCTTTCTCCTCTCTCCAAGCTGCTATAAATTTCCTTTGTTGGCTTGTCTTTAGAGTTTCAAAGTCTCCATGCTCGATTCCGAGCAACTCGAAATAGTTCGTCAGGAATTCTACCCTAGCGTCCTCTAGATCAAGACCATCAGGCGTGGGAGACCTTGCTCGCCTTGAGGACCTTGTTTGCCTTGATGGCGAGGGTGACCTTGTTTGCCTTGATGGTGAGGGCGAACGTGTAAAATGTTGTGATAGCTGGCGCTGTTTTCGAACTTTGGCTTCGGCAAGGCCAACGGAGGGAGTTCTACTATAAGCAATGCTACTATCACGGGCCCTTGCAAATCTCTGTTCTGCTTCAACAGCCGCATCATAGATCATCTGATCCGCATCTTTCGGCCAACACCTTCGCAAAGCTGATCGTGGCTCCCATGATTTCACATTCTTGTGTTTGTCTGTGATTGTCTCGTCTTTAATGTCCCATTCTACTAAGACATATGTTGGGACAGACCTCCAACTCGTCACCAGGTCAGGATTAATGGCATCCAAATCGTACTTTGAAGCTTTCTGGCCTGTCCACCAGGCTACACCCCATATGTGACGAATATGGCGCTTTGTATACAAATATTTACCATTCTTCTTTCTCTTTTCTCCAAATCTATTATTAGGGTTGGATACATTTTCTTCGTCGGGAGGTGTGGGGTCGTCATAGGTCATCGGGTATGACAAACTTTCAATTCGATATCTTGCATGGCTCTTTTTACCATGCATATTGATAAATGTGGTAGATCTGCCACCACGCCACCCAACAGTTTTGATATTTTTGGAATGAGTTATTCCTGGATTAGTGTGTAACGGAGTACCATATTCTTCGTCAACGTAAGTGGCAGATGAGGCGTCACTGTCGTAGTCTGTTTCGGCTTCTGGATCGCTGTTAAAAACTGAGTTATCGTCGCGTTCAATACTTTTAATCACCACAGTCTTCTTTGTCTTCTTTGTCTTCTTTTTCTTCCCATTCTTCCCGTTCTCCCCCTTCTCCCCGTTCTCCTCCTTCTCCCCGTTCTCCTCCTTCTCCCCGTTCTCCCCCTTCTCCCCCTTCTCCTCCTTCTCCTCCTTCTCCTCCTTCTCCCCATTCTTCCCGTTCTCCCCCTTCTCCTCCTTCTCCCCCTTCTCCTCCTTCTCCCCCTTCTCCTCCTTCTCCCCGTTCTCCCCGTTCTCCCCGTTCTCTTCCTCATTATCCAATTCCATTTCATCCAACTCCTCTTGTGGTAAAGCGTCCAACTCCTTATTACTCTTATTCATCAGTTTCTCCAATTTAGCAGCTCTCTCCTTGTTATTCTTCCTTTTGGCGGCTGCTATTGTTCTTTCTATTTTCTGTCGACGTGCATTTCCCATCTTAAATATAAATGTAGAGGATATGTGATATAATAGTTAATGGACTTCGTATAATGGTAATAAACTGAGTGCCCTTATATAGCTAAAAATCTTGATCCCAAAATATGTTTGCGGTCCAGAAATCGAACCTAACAAGCTATTTGTGAGAGGTCCCAAATCATGGACCCATCCAAGTTTAGTATCACCGGCATTTGTACATACATGCATACTTAAGTACATAATGGCATACTGTAGTCTTGACTTGGCAAATTAAGACATCTCTATCCTACAGTAGTTTCATTACCTTTCAATGAACTCTTTCAAGTGTGATCATATGGATCTTAATATGCGAGCTCTTAATAATCTCATTTGCCAACCTATTGATCGACAGGTTATTTTACGTATGGCTGATCTCGCTAAGAAGATAGTCAGACCAGATTTATCCTATCTACTGTTGCCAAACTTGGACACAAACTATAAAAGAGAAGATCTATGTGCATTCATCCCGAGGTTATGCGCCAAAGGTCTACCTCTAGGCACTAGAATACCATCGATTGAAGGCCTTGCTAACTATCTACTGAAGTGCTTTGAGATCGAAATGATAGTTGTATTAGGTGCAATGGTCTATCTCAGGCGATTGAAGCTATCTCTCTCGCCACTGATTCAGGGATACCAATTTGCAGAATATGGCATTTTGATTTCATCTATCATTATATCAGCTAAATATATGAACGATCACTCCTTCCTAAATACACATTGGGCTATATGCAGTACTATAGTATCCGATGAATATATCTTTAGCCTCAGTTTAAAAGAAATTAACTCCATGGAGGTTGAATTTCTTGAAAAGTTGGGCTGGGATGTTCATATCTCCCTCGATGAGCTTGCATCTTTATCCGTTTCCCTCACGGCTGCGGACCATAGGGACTCTATCGGACAAACCAGTATCTCGGCCTGCTTAGCAACCGAGAAATTCCTTAAACCACATCGACATCCATTTTTCCAGCGCCTTTTCCCTTGCACATGCTGCGAGAGTATAGCCAAAGAGCACGGCAGGTCTCAACAATCAGAGCCTATTTAGGATGGTTATAAAAGGCAGCATTATCCTTAGTTATATATGTATTTAGCTTGATTAAATTATTGTCTGGTTGGCATCTATCGCTTTGTGATTCTGGAGATGGTGCTGTAGATCTTCTGTTAAATCCGTAGTTGTACACCTGTTTTGGTTTCAAAAACTGAGCGTATGTTGCTACACGCAAGTTAGGTGACCATTCTATAGATTCAACTATATCAAGTACAGTATCTGTTTTCTCTAATTTATCCATTCTTAGTTGAGTTCTGAGAACTAAGTAAAGAAGAGGAAAGCTTAATCTATTCCATTATGGCGGACAATAGTACTATTTATCTTAGAATGAAGGTGCACCGAGAAATTGGATCGGCTTAAATTTAAACCCAGGGCATAAATATGTCAATTTTAAATAATTTACTGCCTAAGAATCTCCTTAGCGAACTCTCTCGCTCGAACCCTCAATGTGGCCTTCGTTAACTCCTTACTTAACTTAACATCACCCGGTATATTCCGCTGACCATCAACAAGATTAATAGCATTTCTATCTTTTATTTTCTCTTCTACTAAAGAGATTAGGGTAGAGACATTAGTCGACATGCGTCGGTCAGCCTCATTTTGTAGCTTGTGCAGCTTCTCAGCTAATTGTTGGTTTGCAAGAAGAGCCTCTTCGAGCTTGCGATTCTCCTGCCAATACGCATGTTCGTATTGGGTTGAATGGCATTGGTGGTCATCAAGCTCTTGAGAAATAGTTTTAAGAAGACACAAGCTTTCATTTAATTTCTTTTGGATGCTCAGCATGTGTAGTGCGTCATGATATGTGAAATCTCTTGTCTGTGTTGTTGGTATATATAGGGTAGCCATAACATTAGAAATTGGTGTGCTAGCACGTAGTCTGAATAATTATGAATGCGGCTAGTAGTCTTTAATACAGGGCCGACACATTAATATTTTTGGTGTATGAAAAGAATCTAGCAGATGGGTCTGAAAGTTGGTACTTCTGAGAAGCGACAGGTCCTGGTTTTTGGTTTAGCATAAAAAGGAAGAGCTGAGCGCATACTATTTCTAGGTCACACCAAATTTCTAGCCTGCACCATGTTTCTGGTTTATACCATATTCTTGAACCCTGTAATTCAATCAAGGACCTTCTTCACGATATCTTGCTCATACTGCTGACTGCAGCTTAATGGAACCCTTCAAATCTTACGTCTTCCACTACCCGTAACCCAGCCATCCTCTTCATGCCAACGTAATGTGAAATATATCTGCTCATTAAATTCGCGCAGAAGGGGGCGTAAGTAGCCTGTTCCATTCCAATGATAACTAAGGCTATGATTCCTCGCTTGCTGGAAAATAAACTGACGGACATCCTCGTGAACATCATGGGCACGGAGCCTATCTACATGAAGCACAATATAGGCCCCCCTCTTACGTGGTTTATTAGTACTAGTAGTTAAATATTTTAGCTCGTCAAAAAGCTGCTGAATAGCACCTTGGGCCATATCCACCGTATCCACACGCACATTTCGCAAGTGCAGTAAGTGAGCGGTGGACTTATTAACTGAGATGCAAATCATTTTATCACGATCGCACATATTTAGCTGGATCTTTGGCTGGATAGGGCAACCCAAGACCATCATATTTGAGGTACTAAATGGGCCAGCATCGTTATTATAATAATAATCCCTAGATGTCATATTCGTTTACTATAGTACGGTAAATGTGTACTGTACTGTATACAGTAAAAGGCGAAATGGGTGTCGCAAATATTGTTAGATAATTATTTTTACTGGGTCCATTTCTGGTCATCTAACGAAGTACCCTGGCAAAACACTTGTACCTTCATGTACTAATACAGGTAAGGTGCAAAACTAGTCTCCTCTCCACTATTACTCTTTCTCTTTCTAACTCAGGAAAAGTACTTTGAGGGACATGGGTAGACTTTTCCAATTTCATGGCGTCAAAAATGGCCATCTAATACGGCCAAATTGTGCGGCCGGTCATTACTGGCCCTGTGCCAGAGGTATTTCTATGTACTAGCGGGTATATAGTGATCCTGGAAACGCACTGTTGGAACAGGGATCATGAGAGATTGGGAGAAGTGTGTATATTCTTGGTTACCTACAGCTGTTCCGGGTCATCCGGAAATCCTTTGTATGAAGCTATCTGCGATCAACCCTTAATTGACTGGTTCAATCATGTGACCCTTCCATTTTGAGGAAAGAGGCGCATTCGTGCGCTTTGGCCCTCGTATCTTAGTAATCTGGATGAATTCCACGATGCCTCGGTCCAACACGCACGGACCCATTCTGACAGTGAGCCGACGACTTCGCTACCTTGCCCAGATACATTTGGTCTTAGCACGTGACCTCTCCGTAATTCGCATTTTATCACGCCAGGATGAGCGTTAAATCGCGCATCTTCCGAAATATCCTGGATTAGCGTACTCCATACTGAAACATCGATCTCGCACTCATCGTCACTAAATTTATTTCAAATGAAACGACGCCTGAAGGCAGTTATACAACGCACCAGAGCATCCACGCAAGGATTACCTTCTGAAACGTCTACTGATCCTGTGGGGCATCCACAAGGTTTACACGTTATATCGGAAGGAATAAATCCTGTAATTGAGTCAGTAGTATTTCAGTTTTTGATTATGAGTACATTATATGCTTCTATCTAACCAGCCATCCTACAGTATCGTTGCTGTTCATGGCCTGAATGGCCATCGAGGGAAAACTTGGACCGCTAAAATGGAGTTCACTGGCTTCGTGATCTTCTCCCTGACGATATTCCCGGAGCCCGTATCCTCAGCTGGGGCTACGATGCAAACACGCATGCTGTCTCTGTCAGTGGTCAACTGACAGGTCACGTGTTCAGCGGCGGCAGCCCCCGGATTTAGTCATGACGAGAGGCCTCTGCTATACAAAGGAGGTCTTCAGCGATTAATGTAACTACGAAGAGACCCCTAGCAGGTGCTTTACACCTGCTAGCCGCAGGTCCCTCACCTGCGTGCCCCTTCACTTCCTTGAACCGATCCCGCTCTCAGTCTCTGCCACAAGTAGCGTATTCTTGTATGACCATGCGCGAACTCTGGTGTCCGATTTGAACAGGAAGCGGAAATTAACCAACGTGAGGGGCAGTTATTCAATCTTGATGAAGACACACTAACGAGCCTATAGTCTTCACAACGACCAATCATCTTCATAGCACACAGTCTAGGAGGTATCGTTTTGAAAAGCGTACATGACCAAGAAGTTCTTTCAAGATAGAAGATTCGGCTGATGATGATAGGCTCTCATCCACTCAGACGCAGCCCGCCAAGGTGCACTTCTGGAGCAACAATCTGTCAAGCTCTCGACATATGGCATTCTATTTATGGGTACTCCCCATCAAGGAGGGAACGGTGTCCAGCTAGGACGTATCCTCGCCAATATTGTCTCTGTCTTTGTGGCAGCCAATGACTGTATCCTCAAGCATCTCGAAAGAGACTCCGAATGGCTGCTGCAACAATTGGGACAATATGGTCCAATCAGTAGTGATCGTGATGAAATTTGCGTATGAGGAGTACGAAACATCGGTGGCTCCGGGAAAAAGAATTCTGGTTGGTACATACCCTTGCCTTTGCTTGGAAATCTGGTTGCTGAACCACGCCAGGTTGTGCCTAGAGCGTCAGCCGTTGTGCCGGGGCAGGCGGATGCAGAGTCAATCCTCATCCATGCAGACCATAAGAATATGGTCAAGTTCCTCTCAAAGCAAGATGTTGGCTATACTACCGTCTGAGAGCATTTGCAAATCATGGTGGTCGATGCGGAGGGTATCATTCGATCGCGGTGGGAGGCAGAATCCAGGGCTGATAACGGTGGGTGACTCTCACGAATCTGCCTAGCCTGTATGGCTAATGTTCATGCATATGATAGCACGAGGAAATGGAATGTAATTCTCTCTCAGCCTCAGTCTGTCAGAGGTAAATGAGGTGAATCGTTTTGTGGCAAGGGAAGAGGAACTTGCCCAAATGCAGGAGATCCTAACAACATCTCATGGCCGTCACACTGCTATCATACACGGCCTCGGAGGCATGGGTAAAACGCAACTGACAATAGCGTTTCTCAAGCGGCACCATGCGCACTATTCGGCAGTCATCTGGCTCAACGCGAGTGATGAGGAGACACTGAAGCAGAGCTACGTAAAAGCAGCAGAACATATACTCCAGGAGCATCCTTCCGTTGCCTACCTTGAACGTGCTGTTGCTCAGCGGGATATGGACGAGGTGGTCAAGGCTGTCAAGAGGTGGTTGAATGAACGTGGCAATAAACGCTGGCTCATTATTTTCGACAACTACGACCACCCTTGGTTAGGCGGCATCATTGAAGCGGGACCTGATGTCTTTGATGCCGAGAGCCAAAATGCTACTAGAAGGAACTCTTGGCAGAAAGATAGTATTGTCTTGAAGGTGAAGATGGCGCCTCACTGGTTTCAGAAAGTCGAATCCAAGGCCAAGAAGCTGTTGTCTCCTTCGGCTCCTTCACCATCACCTTCGCCGACACCGTCTTAGCCTGCATCTGAACTAGCAGCTCAACCAACATCTTAGCCAACGCCTTCTCCACCTACTTCGACCGATTCCGAAACCTCGCCGCTGCTGAGTCTACAAAAGCGGCTTTGGAACCAGGCCTACGACGAGCTCAAAGCGAGCGAGCCCAAACTGGTCGAAGCTCTGTTACTTGCGAATCAACGGAAAACAAGATAGAAGGGGATCGTGAGATAAGATGCTTCCAAATGCAGCAGTTTGTTCGGGATGGACTTGGCCGGACGCAGAAAGCAGCGTCCATCAAGCGAGGAATCGACGAAGGCTTGCAAGCAGTGCAAGCGGTGAGGGGGATAGTGGACAAGCGATACAGGCCGCACTAGAAGCCGCCATCGCCTGGGTTGGCATCTGCCTTGAACTAGAGGTGTGTGATCCGCTTCCCCAACCAAAGAGAAACGGGAATGGTCCCGCTGACAGTTGCTAGATACTTTCGAACCCCGTCACTGAGTCACGCGACAATCGCAATGGCATCGTCTACGTCCTGTCAAGACTGGAGTGGTATTGGAACCTGGTGTCCCTGCTTCTCGATAAGAACAAGGCTGAGCAATCTTCCGCGGGACTGCGAGTCCAACTGGAGAAGCACGTCGTGCAGCTGTACGGGAAACTTTTGTCGTATCAGATACAGAGCATCTGCCTTTACCACCGGAACTGGGCTGCCGTCATTGGAAGGGATCTGCTCAAGATCGACGACTGGGCTGGCCAGCTCAGCGAGATCCAGAAAGCCGAGGCTGCCGTGCAAAGAGACATGGAACAATACAATACCGAAAAGAGTAAGATCTATCTCCGGGACCTTGCCGTTGCCGCATGGTCTCAGGAGGCGAAGCTTCAAGATATCCATTCGGCCATCGAGGACCAAACACGACAGCAAGAGAAGAGATACCAAGACGTCAGGTACGACAAATGTATGCAGGATCTGCACGTGACTGATCCACGCAAGGATAAGAAGTGAATCCAAGACACGAAGGGTGGCCTGCTCAGGGACTCGTATCGCTGGATTCTTGACCACGTAGACTTCCAGCGATTTCGCGATGATCCGCAGAGCCGGCTGCTCTGGGTTAAGGGTGACCCTGGCAAAGGCAAGACCATGCTCCTGTGCGGCATCATCGACGAGCTAGAGGAGGGATTCAATTGTCTTCTTTCCTATTTCTTCTGCCAGGCCACTGAGACTCAACTAAGCAACGCGGCGTCTGTGCTGCGTGGCCTCATCTACCTCCTCATCCTCCAGCAACCATCGCTGATTTCGCGCGTCCGGTCCAAGTACGATGGTACGGGCGAGAAACTCTTCCAGGGTATTAATGTCTGGGTGTCTCTGATTGAGATACTCACTCCGTCGATTAACATTAGGGGGCCTCGGGTCGCCGATGCCGATGGCCGGATCGAGACTCGGAGAGTCAAATGTGGCATGACACCAGCAGTGTGGATCAATTCAGAGTTTCACGGGCTAACTTATGTCGAAGCTTATTAGTGATGGTCGTGGATGAGGTGGCAGTTCTCTTTGCTGGCTTGTTTCCGGGGTATTGGTCCAGACCCCTTTCTATGCTTGGATAATATGGGTGAGGACTTCGGCTTCGGCTTACTTAGCTAGATAATTCTGGCAGAATCGCCTGCGAATAGTACCTAGGGCGTTGTCTTTCCAGGCTATTTGGCTGACCTTCAGGGGCGTCAGCAGCTAGGAAATGCGTCCTAGATGTCTCTGAGGGTCCTACTGACCTTGTTATCCTGTGTGGGCCACGACGGTAACTTCTCCCACTGCCACAGACGTCGTCCGACTTGATCGTCCGTCTTAAGGGCTACGAGACGCTCGTAAAGCCAGCCCCTGGGTAGGGTTGAGAGCATTTTCTTCATCTTCAAGGTCCGGGTCCTTCTATAATTGCCGTTCGACGCTGACAGGGTCCCATTTGGCCCCTGGCGAGTGCCAAATCCACTGTAATATGTATCCATAGGCCCCTAGAAGCCAGACCTTGAGCCTAGTAGGCGTTGGCTTGGTCTTTATCGTCACCTTCTGTTTTGAACGTCCTTCAAACAAGACCATAGCTTCCTCAACAGCCACAAAAGTGCCCACGATGACAGCGGCCATAGCGGCGGCCATCCTGTGGTTGGCCCAGTCACTGACCTTGTCATACGGGTCCGGCACCCCTGAGTGTATTGTACCCTGCTCATCGATTCGTAGGCGTCCTTTCACGAGGACAAAACGGTTATAGGTCATATATTTGATGATTTCGTGACTGGGGACGTGTCGGCCACCTTCTGGCACCCTCCAGAAGTCCTCAACCCTGAATTCTTTATGTAAAATCATACAATTCCATATTCCTATCCATATCCATAGCTCTGACGCTGTTGTCAGCGTCCAATTGTCCTGACGAGCTATTTTTTTTCGAGGCCGCGGCGGCTCGTTGGGCGGGTCTTTCGTTTAGGCAGCCCATTGTTCGACGAGGGCCTTAGGAAGGAAAAGCTGGAATAGCTTCAAAATGCGTCCCTGGTCGCGTTGTTGGCTCAAAATCCGGTCTGAATGTGGCATCGCTTGGTTGTTCCCTCGTCGCATGGCCTGTTTGAATAGGGTCCCGTTCGTCGGGGCCCACGGTGGGCTCCGCAGCGTCTGCGGCGTCCTTCATGGCTCAATTCGTCGTGACGCCGTTGTCTATGAGGTGGGTAATAGCGAAAACAAATATATAGCAATTTGGCTGCGTTAGCGTTTTTGTTGTTTCTTTCCGTACCGACGCGTTGACCGGGGTGGTATGGGTCTCATACATGCCTGCGCACATTCTGACTGTCAAGGAGATATATGGTAGTGGTTTGTCGGTGATCAAGGTATCTGTCGTACCCGTTCTTGGAATGGTTGATACGTCCCCATATCCTTCTTGTCGAGCTGGCTAACTCCGAGAGAGCAAGCCGGGGTGATACCAACTACTTGCACGAGACGAATGAGCATAGAGCGGAAATACGATGGAAAAATATTGTCAAATTCATATTGATCTGAATGTACCCATGACTAGCATAAGGATTTTCTCAAACAGCGGAAGAAACTCGACGATCGACCGCATAGGAATACATGGCCGATTGCAGGATAGCCTTAGGCTCATTATAATAGAATATAGGTCAAGCAGCAGAGCATATTAGAGGGTAAGCGTCTGGATCCGGGAATTGTTAAAGTACCGCTTAACTGACCTTAATGGTCAAGGTATTCCTTCCATCGGAACGTATTTTCTCAGCAAGCTACCCGATCTTCTTGTTCCGGTCACCTTTGTTGACGGTCTCGAGGCCAGCAAAGTTGATCTGAGCATCATCTCTTGCCGCATCCTCCAACATCTGCATTTCATCTGCCTCCTTCACCGCGTCGACGTCGATGCCCGCCTTCAGCTTCCGGGTCGTCAAACGTATCCTCTCTGCCACACTCCCGTATTTACACCTGCGAGAATAGATATTTGTTTGTTGGTTAAGCCGAGCTGGGCGCCGATAGCGATGCCAAGGCAAAGGCCGATCTGCGCCATGATCATGAGGAAGAAGATTGCAGTAGTAGAGACGGATACAACCGCAGCTTTGCGTTCTTTTGCCAGGACCATATGGTATATAGATTCGTCATTCGGATTTGAGGACTCGCGGGCATTAGTGTCGCCAACGAGGAGTTGATAAGTTTCCAGCTGAGATCTGCTAGAAGTGGATGGTATTGTGGTTGGAGCTCGTTCAGGGTCAACGGTGTCCATTGCAAAGTAGGCGATCCTCCGGCTAGAGGATGAGAGTGTTTCCTTCTGATGTTGTATGGGCAGATTCTAGGCAAGGCATCTCCATCCGGCGGGGCCGCAAGTAAGACGCGGATGCAGATATATCTAATATTCTGGCCGAAACCTCCCCTCCCCAGTCTCACATCATCCCCCCAGGCTAGTCAAAGTTGCGAGAACTCGAAGGGGATTGCGCATGATCAAGACTGGGAAGCCACCGGAAGATACTAAACACAGGGTGTGTGGGATGGAATGTTAATTAGAGTTATATGCCATGAAGTAGAAGGCCAACGATGTGTTGATGATGACACAATTTATTAAATGCATAGCGCCATCAGCCATAAAGGTGGTGGGCAAGTATAAGAGTGTGGTGGGCATGGAGCAAATCCCAATGCTAGGCATTGTGAAGTAATTCATAGCTTATAATCAATTATACTAGGCGTTTCCAGGGTGGCGGATAAGTTTCTGTGTACTAGTTGTAGCAAAAATTTTCTCTTAAACTCTCGTTGTTTTATGACCTTGCCAGCTCATTTCTCTCTGTCAGAATCATGCTGGATAAGATTTCTGTAGCCACGCAAGTATTCTTGGGGTTTTAGCCATAATATTCCTAGAGTAAGTTGGACCGTCACTTCAGTGACATTTTAAGTTCGATATACGTTTGTGGTGTCGGGCAGTCTCACATGCTTGAAATATTGGGACAAAACTTAACCATCAGAGTGACCACCAGTTCCAGCAGTAACAGTCTGGAATGCCGGTGGCGAATAAATCATGCTGTCGATCAGGATGCCTCTTTCCCTGCCCCTGAATAACATATGATTATGATGACCTCCAGCCAGACCGACAATTAGCGAAGGACTGAGCCCACTGATTTACCGTAATAAGACTGGTCCCTGTCATCTCTGGATAGTATAGGATCGAAAGCCCTCCTAGAGAAGAGGACAGAGAGATTAATGCGCCAATGAGAATAGACGAAATGAACTTAATCTATTCGTCATTGTTGAAGCGTGTCCTAGCCGGAATGTGCCTCGTGAGCTCTAAATATCCCCTTAGCCCCTGATAACAATACAAGTAAGAAGCATCGCAATACAAGATCGTTATTTAGAGTTCGATATACTATTGTCTAGTTTAGTTGTTTGGTAAGGCAGTCCGAGCGTGACCACGCGGAGTATAAATATGGTTCGTGCGATGCGCCACGGATAACTCTCCGCTGGTTCTGGACCGTCGCATTGATATTTCCGAGACCTTAACTCCATAGCCCCTTCACCGATATTCAAAACTTGGAGGACATGGTAATACATGGGGTAACAAACTCAGGGTCTAAAGCTTTGGACTATCTCGGTAGTGGTTGTTAAAAGGTTCTAGAGCCACCTGGCGTTACAATTCCAACACTTTTTACGTTGGGGGTACCTAGTGTTAGCTCTAGACCTGCCGAGACTGTGTATCAAACATTAAAGATTCCAGCGACACAGAGTAAAACGGCATGAAAGCCTAAAAGCAAAGCTTAAGAGACTGGTGTGATCAAGGTGTTATCTGTGGGGTACGGCAAGTTGACTTTGTCAACGTTCGGCTATCTTTGATTTGCGGAAAGTATTATGAGAAAACGTCTTTCTACTACTTTAACGCCATGCGTTCCGGTGTTGCTAAAATCACATTAGGCAGCGGAGGGTCTAGTGAGTGCAGAATGCTATACATCCATAATTAGGAGCTGGTCTATTAGCTATCCCAGATTAATATTAGGTTTAAAGGACATACGAGCAATAATAGTAAAAGTCGTTTCCTCGCGTACGGAGTTGGCCATTTTCAGCTTAGCATCCACGTCGGCACGATCGCCTCAGGTGATGCAGTGATGACATCTAGATATGCTCGGTGGGATAGGCGGTTGGAGATTGGAGAAACGAGGGTGGGCTTGCTTCCCGTATAGGACGTCTTAGGAAGCGGAACACCTGAAACAATCACAATCGAGAGACACGTTGTCTACGCTTGTGGAAGACGGGCCGTTCTGTTTAGGGGCCATTGGCATTCACGCAATATACCATGATTCATTGTTGGGGAGACAACTCTTGATGGAACGTGACATTCGAAAGTCACACGAATCTCGCTACTACCGCATTCTATCGCAGGTTGTATGGGATCGTGGGCGTTTTGGTTCGAAACGAGCTTGGGAAAAATTACGCAGGATTCTTCGATGTGCGGCTAGAAGTTGCTGGTTATTGATGACAGAATGCGAAGGCACTTCTGGCTGTTATTGTTGGAGGACGACAGGGTTTTAATTCGCACTATTCACACACAGTGTATGCGCCACGGTTGGTCCATTTTTTGGCCATTTTTAGCCATTTTCGGCAGGTATCCAATGACAGAATACTGACGCTGAACCCGCACCCCACTGTATATAGAATTATAGTTAATTTCTATCTGTATTAGTTAGTACACAGTCAAACGCCGCCTCTTATAAATTCATTTCTAAACTCAATAATCAGTTCTTTCAGTCTAGACCTCTCTACATTACAATTAGAAGGATATTATAACGCCTCTCCTATATATCTTCCCACGACTTTTTTCCGATTAGTCAAACGCCACCTCTTATTAAATCATTAACAAACTCAATAATTAACTTTTTCAGTCTAGACCTCTCTACATTCCAGTTGGAATAATATTTATTACGCCTCTCCTATCTACTTATGAAATTTTCCTAGTTAGCCCTCTCGCTGACCCCACTCAGTCGTGGCTGAACTAAATACAAACGGCCGTGTGGATAATTCGCTATGATTAGTAGTCTGATACAGTAAAAGGCGAAATGGGTGTCGCAAATATTGTTAGATAACTATTTTAACAGGGGCTATTTCTTAGTATATAATAAAGCAGGCTTGTACCTTAAGGTACTGGTACTAGTTGATCTAATAATGCCTAATTCTGGCCCTCCTATAAATTCCTACCCTCCTAGAATATTTAAATCTCTCTTCGGTCGCTGTATTTATATGTAATTAATATTGGGGAATATATTAATATTAACCCGATATTTACTATTTATTTATTAGCCGCTGAGCTGGTTCATGTAACTAGCGCTTCTATTATATAGTGCGACCGCTTCTAAGCTAATCATCTCAGATGTTCCGCCTAATTTGGCGGCAGTATGTACTATTGCTAAGATGATAGCATTAGAGCACTCTATTTGCCCTGATTGAAAGCTATAATTTTATTTTAACTGCTGTGGCGAAATAAGGAGTTTGAAAGGTGATTCTAGTAGATGTAGGTAAGAGACGTTATAGAAACTCGTAGAAACTCGTAGAATGCTATAAGTGGGTCCTTCCTTTATTTCTGGGAATATTGTGCGCTTGTGCTGGAGGGTTCTGGAACTAATGGTTCTGCCTGTTGGTAGTTCCTGTGGTTTCTCTCCTCTATTAACTCGCTATCATGGAAGCCATGAACCTAGATTGGCTGGGTGATGAAGTTATATTAGACTTTGGAACACCTAAACTCCCATTTGATAGCCCTACAGCAGGCCCTGTAGTAAACCTGATAGCGACCCCGATAGCCAGCTAAGGGGCTGAGCGGACCGAGCCGCTAAGTGGCGAACGCGATCTTCTACTACTTCTTTGACTTAGTGACTGGGAAAGAGATAAATAATATGATATAACTAATCTAGAGTGCATCCACTATAACTTTAAATAGAAGGTATCCTAATGTGATAAGATTAGAGCTAGATAGATTTTCATAGACTTATACCCTGATATTATCTTGGCCCTAAGCGACTTTTGGTAAGATAATCTCAAGGTATGCCTTGAAGGTCTCTTAAATAATAAGATAAAATTCCCGGGTAGTGAATATATATATGATAAAACGAACATTATTATATCTATCTAATGTAGTTGTTAGCATGGTCTAACTAAACGATTTAATAAGTTAGAGATTGATTGGAATATGGTAGATAAGCACCTAGAGGGGCTTAGTAACCTGTTTAGTAAAGGGAGAAAGATAACCTTCTCTATGGAATTTATCTATAAGGAAGCTACTATAGAAACCGCAGCTGTAAATAGATAGAAGAAGTCCAAGAGGAGTGCTATAGATTCCCAAAGGGCTTAATAAGCTGCAGATGCTGGTCTATGGGCTTGAGTCTATAAGTTCTATCGGTGTAGGGCTAAATATTGTAAGCAAGGGCCCTATTGCTTGGTGGATAACTAAGGAAACCACTATAAAATGTTAGCGACACACCTGGAAGATATTTATAACTATATTAAAGTTAATATAAAGGAAGGAGAGAAGGAGGATGATGTTAATGTTAATATTAAGATCCCCCCTAAAATTCTTTAAGATATTATAGATAATAGTTGTAAGCGAAAGGTAGATGGGTCTATCGACTATCGCGCCTCTAAATCTAGCTGTGGATATAGCTCTGAGGAAGATATATTAGGGGATAGGAAGGATAAGCTTAAGGAATATTGTAACTGGATATTATCCTAGGTAACTAGCGAGCGCTAGAGAATAGGACTTTAAGCTGTAAATTAGTTTGCTATGGATTAGTTCTTGGAGCTTAACTCTATCTTGCAATATTAGAAGTTGATATTTGATTTAATGGTTAGGGGTGGGATTAAACTAGGGATTGCCTTGCAGTTTATGAGCAATATTAGAAGGTTTTAGAAGGAAGAAAGGACTAGTATATCTTAGAGTTTGAGAATTTTTAAGAAGTAATTATCTATTCTAGAGGATATATAATAGGTATCCCTATATGATAAAAATGATTCTCTATAGCCTATTTATTATACCTTACTATATCTATATATTATTCTAAATACTAATTAAATACCCTATTAATAAATACTTTATTTTTATATATTATCTTTTTAATAAACCTTTTAATATCTCTAAAGTATTCTTTAATTAGATTAAAATCTGGTGAGTAGGGTGATAGGTATTCTAGATATACTCCTACTTATTAGTATATCTACTAGAGTTTCTCTATATAGTGCTAGGAAGCGTTATCTATAATA